TGGATGGAAGTGGAGCAGCCAGGACTTGAACAGGCGCCCACATAGGATGCCAGCAATGCAGGCGGTGGCTTTACCTGGTATTCCACAAAGCCGGCCCCTCGAGGCTCACTCTCTTTTTTTTTTTCCTTTGACAGGCAGAGTGGACAGTGAGAGAGAGAGAGACAGAGAGAAAGGTCTTCCTCTACCGTTGGTTCACCCCCCAAATGGCCACTGTGGCCGGCGCACCGCGCTGATCCGATGGCAGGAGCCAGGTGCTTCTCCTGGTCTCCCATGGGGTGCAGGGCCCAAGCACTTGGGCCATCCTCCACTGCACTCCCTGGCCACAGCAGAGAGCTGGCCTGGAAGAGGGGCAACCAGGACAGAATCCGGTGCCCTGACTGGGACTAGAACCCAGGGTGCCGGCGCCGCAAGCGGAGGATTAGCCTAGTGAGCCGCAGCGCCGGCCAAGGCTCACTCTTGATCAAGGGGGTTGGTGACCACAGGAACGCTGTAGCGTGAGCACACAGGCTCCAGACAAAGGTGAATTCTAACAAGCCTGCACTCAAGGAGTAGACCTCATGGAAGGAGAACCTTAGGACAGGCCCCCAGGTGGTGGGGGAACGCCAGACTTTTCTGATCTAACTCATCGACACTTAATAAGAGCTCTGCCTTCATCTACTCAGCTACTATAACAAACACCTGTGGCCAGGTACTTCTTAAAAGAAAGGTTTATTTGTCTCGTGGTTCTGGGGTCTGAGAGATTGGGCTGAGTAACCGTTTTTTGAGTGGCTTCTCTGTGCTCACCACGTTCACACATCAGTAGAGTCACCATTGAACCCATGCAGAGGGAAATGCAAGCCCAGAGAAACGGGATCATGAATCTGCGCTCACAAACACGACAGGCCCCAGGGCTGACGCACGCATCTCTCTGACCCCTGAACTCCTGCTCCCCATCCCTCCTCCCGACTCTGCTGCTCCTGGGCGATGCTAGAAACAGGGTGGAAAGGGAGCCGTTTATAAAGAACGTTGCAGCCAAGAAAAGTGCTTGCAGGTGTCTCTCTTCATTCTCTTTCAAAGGACACCTGCCACCCACGTAGCTTTGGAATTACAGAGGCCCTGAAGGAGTATTCCCTTTGGTCATTTGGAAGAAAAGGAAGCCCTTCTTTGCCTTTTCTTTGAACATCCTCTTACCGTCTATTACTGCTTTATTCCGGGGCACCGAATGTGGAGACCCTTCTGGGGCCTACTTCTGGAAAGAAGAATGTTCCATTGTGTCAGCACTCGTGAGTCACTCCTCAGAGTCCTCGACAAGCGTGCGTGTGTCTTCTGGCCACCCTGAAAAGAGAGGGCAGCAGTTAGAGCTCTGCCTATGCACCCACCTCAGCCCCAGGTCCCATGCAGTTCTGGGCAGTGGCTTCCAGGGCTCCGTGGAGAAAGCCAGGACATAAGAGAGTCCCATTTTCCTCTTCTTTAAGGTCTTATTAAAAACGCCCACCTACTGTGCCTTCCATTCCTCTTTGATGATTTTGTGGAACTTAGAAAGACACTGTTTTCTTTTGAGTAGAAGAGAAGTCTTTCTTAAGACTTTCTTAAGACTCAACAGCAGAGCTTCCGGGTTTTTGTTGTTTGTTTGTTTGTTTGTTTTCCATGTGTGGCTGGGGACCATCAGCCGGTGTTTTCCTAAATGGACACTCCAGTTACACTAAGTCAAAATATTTGGAGCAAAGACTGAAGTATCCACACTGTGAACCAGCTCCCCAGAATACTTTTAGACACTAAATCTGAATTAGCTGTTGAGCTGGGTTAAGAACCAGAAAGCCATCGTCCTCGTCTTGAGGGAGCTGTCCATTGCCTATGTGACTCTGACTTGTGGTTGTCACCTCCTTGAGCCTATGGTTTCTCTGCTAGAAAGTAAGGAAAGAGGGAAGGCAGTCACCAAGTCTCCTCATAGCTCTAATTTTTGGGAGTAGCCACATCCTTCCTGGTATGTTGATCAAGTTCTTTGCTGTTACGTCTTGGTTTGTTTATTTGATCTGTGACTGAAAATGTTAGTAAGCTCGTCTGCCTATGTTCACATGATAATTCCACCTGCTTCACAGGGCTACTGAAGAATGAAATGCAGGTGAATGTCCTTTGCAGACACTAACTTGTTGCACAAAGAACAGGTGTTCCTGAACAGTTCAGAATTTAGGGAGAGCATAGTTTGTTTTTTTTTTTTTTAAGATACATTTATTTTATTTGAAAGGCAGAGTTACAGAGATAGAGGAACACACACACACACACACAGAGAGAGAGAGAGAGGAGAGAATCTTCCATCCACTACTGGTTCACTTCCCAAATGGCCTCAATGGCTAGAGCTAGGCCAGACTGAAGCCAGGAGCCAGGATCTTTTGTGAGACCTAATGGGTGCAGGGGACCAAGCACTTGGGCCATCTTCTGTTGCTTTCCCAGGCTCATTAACAGGGAGCTGGGTCGGAAGTGGAGCATCTGTGACTCAAACCAGCACCCATATGGGATGTCAGTGCTGCAGATGGTGACCTAACCTGCTATACCACAGTGCTGGTCCCCATAGTTTGGTTTTAATTTAAAATATTTTAGTCCTAAATTACTGAATTTTGTTCATGCTTTTTTAAAAAAATAGATTATTTATTTGAAAGATAGAGTTACAGAGAGAGGTAGAGATGGGGGTGGGAGGGGTCTTCCATCCACTGGTTCACTCCCCAAATGGCTGCAATGGGCAAAGCTGAGCCTTTCCAAAGCCAGGAGCCAGAAGCTTCCTCCAGGTCTCTTGCATGGGTGCAGGGGCCTACGGACTTAGGCCACTTCTGCTGCTTTCCCAGGCGCATTAGCAGGGAGCTGAACTGGAAGCGGAGCAGCTGAGATTCAAATCAGAGCCCGTAAGGGATACTGGCACTGGAGGCCGGGGCTTTATGCTGCTGTGCCACAGTGCCAACCTCTAAAGTATTGAACTTTGTACACCTGAAAACAGGCAAATCTTTAGTTCATCAGGCTCCTTTCCTGTAGTTTTACATACTCATTTGGATCAAGTAGCACAGGGTGGATAGCAAAGAGAAATGATGACCATCATGGAAACACAAATACCAGAGTAGCCACATTCATCCTAGGGTCAAGGTTAGTAATGGCTTTGATGCTTTTCCAACAACTGGTTCATGTGATCCTCATATTTTGTCAGCCATGACATTATATAGTGAAGAAAGAAAGTCCATTTCTTGTAAGCTTAAACAGAATGTGTCAAAAAATGGAGGATATTAATATATTTTTAAAACTATTATTTATCAATTCATTTTATTTATTTGAAAGGTGGACAGACAAATGACCTCCCATCTGCTGGTTACTCCTCAAATTCCCACAATGTCCAGGGCTGGGCCAGGGCAAAACCAGGAACTGGGAGCTAAATCCAGGTCTTCCATGTGGATGGGAAGGCACACAACTGTAGGAGCCACCACTACTGCTTCCCAGGGTGTGTATTAGGAAGAAGTGGGAGTTGGGAGCAGAGCCATGGTTTGAACCCAGACACTGATGTGGGATGCACGCATCCGACGCAGCATAAATGCCCACCTAGGATTAACATTTTTTACCATTATGTTCCAAAAGGTAATTTCTTTCCCATCCTTTAACCTGTAGGGAGCTGCATAGCATCATTTTTCCATTCATTCTATGCAATCCCATTCTCTGAGCGGGTAAGTGATGGCATGATAGCTACCCCTGTGAATCAGCAGTTGTCAAGAAGAGAACAAAACTGTTTGACTACTAGTAACTGTCTAACAGTGAAGCATGTACGGTTGATTTGAACAACACCCAAAATTATGCCCTTTCAACCATTTACTCAACTTTTCAGTGATGATGTTGAGGTTTCCTATTATCAAGATCGTAAAATGAACTTACTCCATAACAATTGCTTTGCAGACTTCATGACATGCTAAACTCCGTTTCCCACCTGATTGGTTTCCTCTGTGTCTTGGCTTAACACAGACACATACACAGCACCCACATTTCCCCATGTTTGAGTCTCAGACCACTTATAAAACACTGCTTGTAGGATAACTCAATACTGAGTGTGGTTCATTCCAACGCAAAGTCAGTTACTAACAAATGAAATGTCTGAATTCTCTGCTGTAGAGTTGTGTGTGTTTTATTGTTACATATTTTGGAAAGAGAAGTAAAATATTTCTACATAGTGGTTGATATGTAAGCCAAAATGTTACATATAGAGGAAAGTAAACACATCTTAACTTACTTTATCAGCATACTAAAAGTAAATATACATTATAAGATATGTTTAAATCTACATAAATATGTATAATATTGAACATTGTTAAAATAAGGGAAACAATATGGGTAGTGTACATTCTTTCTCATACATTTTTCTAGCCAAGTATATGACTATAACACATACTACCTAATTATGTAACAACTATTTTTTTATTTGATTTTCAAAAATTAAAGGAATAAAAAAGAAAGAAAGGAGGAGCATTTGAGGGAGGATACTTATCTTAGAATTGTATCTATGAAATACATGAAATCTGTTATCTTTATATTAATGAAAATCAAAAAAGAGCTGCACTATTGTACTTAGAATACAAATTGACTGTACTATTTGTTAAAATGTTTTCCTCCAATGATTTTGCAATTATTGTTTTGTGAACCACAAATGGATTAATAATTTTCATTTCCAAAACAGGTATCTTATGAAATAGCAATTGGAGATTACTTTGAAGCACTCAGAAATAAAAAGTCCTATATTGTATTTTATGGAAGTGCAATGAGACCAGCAATGTGAAGAAAGAAGGGGACAGTTTGCTGTTAATCTTTTATGTGTGCTTCAAGGACATTTTCACCTTTTTTTTACATTTAACAATTTTATTAAAAAATTGAAGACCCATCACAGTGCCTTGAAGACTCAGCTCATTTACATCTGTTTGAGTTTTGCAATCCATTCTCCTAAGAATGTCTAGCCAAATTTTCATTTTTAAGAGTTGTCAGTGGGTTACGGTGCAGACATGGCCAAGTCCAAGAACCACACCACACACAGCCAGTCCCGAAAATGGCACAGAAATGGCATCAAGAAATCTCAATCACAAAGACACGAGTCTCTGAAAGGGGTGGACTCCAAGTTCCTGATGAACATGCATTTTGCCAAGAAGTACAACAAGAAGGGCCTGAAGAAGATGCAGGCCAACAGCGCCAAGGCTATGGCTGCACGTGCTGAAGCTATCAAGGCCCTGGTCAAGCCTAAGGAAGTAAAGCCCACAGTCCCAAAGGGTGTCAGCCAGAAGCTCGATCGACTTGCCTGCATTGTCCACTCCACGCTTGGAAAGTGTGCCCATGCTGAGGGGTCTCAGGCTGTCCTGGCCTGAATATTCAGTTTGATATTCAGTAATAATAAGGCAAAGGCCAAGACTGAGCCCCAAATCAAGGGCAAGGTGAAGGCTCAAATCAAGGCCCAAGTTCAAGCTCAAATCAAGAGCAAGGGCAAGGGCAAGGCTCAGGCCCAAACCAAGCCCAAGGCTCAGGCCCAGGCCACATCTACAGCTCCAGTTCCAGCTCAGGCTCCTCCCAAAGGTGCCCAGCCCCCTGCAAAGGCTCCCTAGTAGCAGCCTGTGCCAGCCAATGCAAGGGCAGAAGGACTGGTGTGACTCTGGGCTGCTGTCTGCATGGGGCTAGTGTCATCCTGTGCTGTTTGTAGAAATAAACCTGAGACAGGGTCTCTCAAAAAAAAAAAAAAAAAAAAAAAAGTTGTCAATTAACATGGAAATCTGATATCCTCCATGTACATCAACTGTGTTTGATATTCAGTAATAAGTGCATTCTCATACTGTTTCTAAAGAGAAGTGTTAAATATGAGATGTTAGCCATTGACGTTAGTAAAATGCACCCTTGTGTGTATAGATTAACCAGGAATTGCATTTAAACATGAAAACACTTGCAGGAGAGGGGATTCAGTAAAAGTTGGCGATGACAAAACTCATGTGTGTGATTTAGTCTGCCCTTGTCAATTTCTTCTCTTCTCTTTCTTATGTCAGATTACCAACCAATCATATTTGCCAGCCCACATGGAAATAGTTCAATAAGTTTTCTAATGTAGAGACTTTTATAATAAATATATGCACTTGTAGGTTAAATATTTCAAAAACAGGTATTTGAGAAGTAGTTGAATAGCCTCAAATTAATTTTATTTTATAATTATCAATAAAGCAACAATAGAATTTAAAGGTTATGTTAAAATACCAGTTATCTTACCATCTAAACACAACCCATTGTCACCTTTTTTTTTTTTTTTTTTGATTTGAGAGGCAGAGAGAGGGAGTGAGGGGTGGGATGAGGGGTGAGGGGAGGGAGAAGAAGACAAAGACAGAGAGACAAAGAAAGAGCTCTCATTACTGGTTCACTCCCCAAATGCCCACCGTGGCTGGGACTGAGGCTTCTCCAGGTTATAGCCCCAGGAACAGGGAACTCCATGCAGGTCTCCTATTTGAGTGGCCGGGACCCAACGACTTGAGCCATCCCTGTTGCCTCCCAGGGTGCACATTAGCAGGAAGCTGGAACAGGAAGTGGAGTCAGGATTGTTTTATTTTAATATTTTTGAATAAGGGTGCAGAGTGGTGGTTGAAATTGTTTGATCAATAGGTCTCCCTCTCTCTTTTTTTTTTTTAAATTTATTTTGATAGATAGAGTTATAGACAGTGAGAGAGAGAGAGACAGAGAGAAAGGTCTTCCTTCCATTGGTGCACTCCCCAAATGGCTGCTACAGCTGGTGCTGTGCCGGCCCAAAGCCAGGAGCCAGTGCTTCTTCCTGGTCTCCCATGTGGGTGCAGGGACCCAAGCATCTGGGTCATCCTCCACTGCCTTCCTGGGCCACAGCAGAGAGCTGTACTAGAAGAGGAACAACTGGGACTAGAACCTGGCACCCATACAGGATGCCGGCGCCACAGGCGGAGGATTAGCCAAGTGAGCCACGGCGCCGGCCCCCTCCCTCTCTTAAGTATGGGAAGTACTCACTTCATGGAGATGTTGAGAAGATTAAATGCAATAATAGTATGTGTAAAGTGCTGGTGGTGCTGGTGGTCACGTGTGCAGTAGAGTTGTTTTTAGTTTGCAGTTGTTTTGGTTTTCTGGGTCTCCCATAGCGAAGTTCCACAGAGAGGGCTGAAGCAACAGGAATTCTTTTTCTCACAGTGCTGGAAGCTGGAAGGCCAAGATCAAGCTTTTGGCAGGACTGGTGTCTTCTGAGGGCTTGCCCCTTGGCTCACAGGTGGCCGCCCTCTCGTGCTTGGTCCCCTGCGGGTTTGCTGTGTCCTAATCTCTTTCTCCTAAGGCCACCAGGGGTAGAGGACAATGGTCTACCATGACCTCCTTTTAACTTCATTGCCTCTTGGAAGACCCCATTTCCAAATTCAGCCACATTCTGAGCTCCTGTGTGTTAAGATTTCAACATAAGAATTGTAAGGGAGGGGACACAACTCGGTCCATAAAGACAGTCCACAGCGAAGTTTTGTAGAATGGTCACACAAGGCCATGCAAAGCTCTTCCCAATTCAACTTATACAAGATAGACTGAGGCCCAAGGAGGGGAAGTGCTTAGCTCCACTGCAGAGCAGTCTGAGTCTGAAATAGGAATTCTTGGTCTCCCTTCAGAGAAATTCAAGGCGGCAAACAATGAATAGTAACTTTAATCCACTTTTTCATATTTTATTTTTCATAACATCTATTGAAAACATATATTGCTTCTCAATTAAAAAAAAGCCTTTAGTTTTTCATTCAAAGTTAATTTGATGTGAAATTCTGCTTACCTAATTTCACGTCAATTTTGTGTTCTAATGATTAACTTACAGATCATCTAGGTCCTGGAGATTTCTTCAAGTTCTCTGAGGCAAAAGGACAGCCATGCATTATATTAAGTAGTATTGGCTCGACACGACTTGTTAGCTCTGCTACAAACAAGCTGTAGGGTTTGGGCAAGTCTCTTCAACTTTGTTAGCCTAAGTCTGTTCATCTGTAACATGAGAGAATTAAGTCCTATGATTTTGTGAAACACTAATGAATTAAAATGATCATCTGAAACAATGTGTGTGTTTCCAAAAGGACTAAATTTCCCAGGTTCAGCAGGCACTTGTCACCTGCACTTTCTAGGCAGTGGATTAGAACTGGCAGTGCTACTGCCATTGCCCCTATATGGGAATCCTGGCCGGGCTCAGGCTGTTAACATACTTTTTATCATGACCACAAACAATCCTGGAATTCAGATTTTTCTGGCTTCAATAAGTATTAGCTTTATTCATTTTGGTTTGAGCCAGCCTCATTTTTCCCCCAGAATTGTTGGTGCATATCAGGAGTGAGGAGAACTTATTACCTCTATTATTAAAATCCCTGTCTTTTGTCAACTACATTCACAGTCTTTTTAGAAATAAATTGTGATATCCCTGCTCCCCAGGTAGGAGACCCAGATGGAATTCCAGGTTCCTGGCCGGCGCCGCGGCTCACTAGGCTAATCCTCCACCTTGCAGCGCCGGCACACAGGGTTCTAGTCCCGGTCGGGGTGCTGGATTCTGTCCCAGTTGCCCCTCTTCCAGGCCAGCTCTCTGCTGTGGCCAGGGAGTGCAGTGGAGGATGGCCCAAGTGCTTGGGCCCTGCACCCCATGGGAGACCAGGATAAGTACCTGGCTCCTGCCATTGGATCAGTGCGGTGCGCCAGCCGCGGTGGCCATTGGAGGGTGAACCAACGGTAAAGGAAGACCTTTCTCTCTGTCTCTCTGTCCACTCTGCCTGTCAAAAAAAAAAAAAAAAAAACATCAAAACACAAATCGAGGATATTATACAGGGATTTCCAGGCTTTAAACCTGGCCAACCCCAAGCATTGCAGACATTTAGGGAATGAACCAGTGGATAGAAGATCTCATTCTTTCTTTTAAAATAGATAAAAATAAATCTATAAAAGGTAGCAGAAATAAACTTTCAAAGAAATTAGACAATCTTAAGGAGGCAATTGACTCAAAATATTTTTAACACTTTGTGAAGAAAAATATCAAGTTCAGCTACAATGTATGGTTAAGGGGAAAATTAGCTACTCTGTATGTGGGCCAGGAACAAAGAGAAGGCTACAGAATTAAAATCCCAGGTCACATCTAAAGATGAGGACTTTCACATTAGAGAGTTAATCTAGAACACTTGGGAGTGTGGTCATCAGTACTGACTGTTCCCATGATGATTGCATGTTTTTTTTTTTTTAAAGATTCATTTATTTATTCAAAAGGCAGAGCAACAGAGAGAAAAGACAGAGAGAGGGGGAGTGAAAGAGATCTTTCATCTGCTTGTTCATTACCTAAAAGCTTGCTACAGCCAGGGCTAGGCCAGGATGAAGCCAGGAGCCAGGAACTCCATAAGGGTCCCCCACATGGGTGGCAGGACCCCAAGAGTTGGGACCATCACCAGCTGCCACTCATGCAAATTGGCAGGAAGCTAGATAAGCAGCATGGAAGAGCCAGGACTTGAACCACACACCCAGATAGAGATGCAGCTGTCCCATGTGGCTTTTTGGTCTGTAGTGCCACAGTGCCTTCCTCGATCAGTCCATGTTTAAGATTATTGTGTTATTCATCTCATTTACCCTCCCAACTTCTGAGGAATTGTTCATAAAATTGTATCCACAAAAGCAAAATCCTAACAGCACTGACGTCTTCTACCCTGTCTGTTGAGTGTTTGGGTAGCTCTTTGTCAACCAAGGTAGAAAAAAACCAAGGCAAAAAACTTCAGGAAGAGGATAGTCCCATTCAAGAGAAGTGTTTTACTATAAAAATACACCATAGTCTTACAGAACACTGAACTGTGTTTCCAATAAGTCTCAGTGAAACCTGACCCTCATGAAGGCAAACTGGGATATGCCCACAGTGGCTACTGAATAGTTAAAGGAAGAATGAATTTTAAAGCCAACAAGGGACTCAAGTTCAAGGTGACTTGGGCATGTATTTATCTTTCCTTCTAGCCCAAATTCTATGGTAATATGTGAAGTTTATAGGAATGTAATAAATCCATGGCAGGAATGCACAATGAATGTAGCTCTCCTGACAAAATATTTTGGATGAAGTTTTAAGGCAGAAGACGTTGAACTGATGGAGAAACCAAACTCTGCTGCTGCCTCAGTAGAAAGAGGAACCAACAAGAGAATTGTAAATGTCTCCATCTTGGAGAAAGGTTGCTAAAAGGAATTTAAGCCGAGAGTACTCATGGTTAACTGATGTATAGTGGCGCTGTCTGTCTACATCACCTAATTTTGCTGTCTGTAAGAAGTACTTGTGTTTTCACATTTACTCTAAAACCTTGTCCTCCCACTTCTATGCACACCCACTTCCTTCTCCATGGGCATCCGATTAGCCTGTCTCAGGAGTCTCCTAAGATCAACCCTCAAGTTCAAGTTCAGAGGAAACTACCTGTGGTACAGATAGGCTGTGCCTGAAGCCATGTGAATCACACATCCAGTGAGCACTCTTGGAAGCCATACCGAAAAGATGCTCTGGGTATCTCAGCACTGGTTTGTAGCCCAGATGTGCAGCAAACATTAGGCAGCAGGGATGTGGATAATCCAGTCTGTTATGTGT